TGTAATTTCCTGAGTGATGCAAGTGATAGGAGCATCTTACACAGAATTCCTAAACCCCTTGGAAATTCCTGGGTGATAGGAATGTCTTTTGTTCTAATGAGATGACTCTTGGTGGGCTCCAGGAAGCCTTCAGGATGGGGCTGATCACCAGAAAGACCAAGTCTTGATTAGAAGCTTAGAACTTTTAGCTGCACTCCCACCATCCTCTGGAAAGAAGAATGGGGTTGGAGATTAACTTAATAATTGATCATGCCTATGTGATGAAGCCGCCATTAAAATTCCTAAACTGGGCTTCCCTGGTGGCACAGTGGTTGAGGGTCTGCCTGCCGATGCGGGGGACGCGGGTTCGTGCCCCGGTCCGGGAGGATCCCACATGCCGCGGAGCGGCTGGGCCCATGGGCCGTGGCCACTGGGCCTGCGCGTCCGGAGCCTGTGCTCCACAACGGGAGAGGCCGCAGCAGTGAGAGGCCTGCGTATCGCAAAAAAAAAAAAAAAAAAAAAAAAATTTCCGAAACTATGAGGTTCAGAGAACTTCTGGGTTGGTGAACGCATCCAAGTGCCAGGAGGGTGGTGCATTCCAACTCCACAAGGACAGACCTTACCCTATGTACCTCTTTATCTGGTTGTTCATTTGTATCCTTTATAATAAAACAGAAAACATAAGCAGAAGCAAACTATCAAAATTGCCAGGAGGGGGGTTGTGGGAACACCTGTCTTTGCAGTCATGTTGGACAGAAGTGTGGGTACCTAGGGGAACCCACTGATTGCATCTAAAGTAAGGAAAATCTTGTGAGACTGAGCCCTTAAACCTGTGGAGTTGGACACTAACTCCAGGTGGTTGGTGTCAGAATTGAATTAAATTACAGAACACCCAATTGATGTCTGGAGAGTTGGAAAACTGGTTGGTTTTGGGGAAAAAACTCTACACATTTGGTGTCAGAAGTGTCATGAGTAGAGAAACAGTTTTTCTAGAGGAGGCCTTAAGAAAACTGAAAATTAAAAATATTCCCTTCCATGGAGATGGTTGGTGGTGATGGTTGCTCAACAATGTGAATGCACTTAATGCTACTGAACTGTATACTTTAAAATAGCCACAATGGTAAATTTGATGTTACGTTTATTTTACTACAATTTAAAAAGTCAATTAGCAGACTTTTAAAAAATCCTCTCCTTGAATGGATAAACAAAATGTGGTATATCCATGCAATGGAATATTACTCAGCCACAAAAAGGAGTGAAGCACAGATACAGGCTACAACACAGATGAACCTCAAAAATGTTATGCTAAGTGATGTAAATCAATGAAGTTAGAACACTCCCTCACACCACACACACACACACACACACACACACACACACACACACACACACACA